AAAAGTGATGTAGATATATTTATGTCATTCATTATAGTCATTTAAAAAAAGTAGGAAAATTATAACCACAATTTACAACAGTTTCGAATTTGAATTTTCTCGTTGATAATATGACTTGAGTTTGTTATTAAACTAACATTAAGGGTAAATCAACATTGACCGAGTCTACTATATTTTTGAAAGTATTTATATTATCAAATACTAAGATGCTTATTAATTACTTTTTCGATTTTTTAAAATAAAGGATTATATAGAATTTTATTGTAGATTGTGTCAATTATAACCAACAAATATGAATTTTTGGAGCAGTTTTGATATTTGTTATTGTATTTACTATTGTATCGTTGTCGAAATAATTATCAAATTTTATTTTATCATTTATAAACAAACTTTAAAATATTAAAATTTTAACTTCTACAACATTGTCTTTGCTTAATCTCCTTATAGACAAAAATACAATAATTAAAAATATATTAACGCACATTTAAAAAAAGTAATTATACATGAGCATACTGTTCATCTAAGAAACCTTGAAACGACTTCAACTAGCTTTCATTGAAATAATAGATGTTTTTAGGATAAAACAAAAGTAAAAAATTGATGCTGCTTATAAAAAAAATATTTTTAATAAATATTGAAGCAGCATTCATTAAACATTGCGCAGCACATCTTTCTCCCAAAAGCTATATATAATGAAAATTGTCAGATATCTATGAGAACTTTTAAAGATCTTTCAAAATAATCCAGCAATTTGATTCTTCAACATTAAAAATCAATACAATAATGAAGCGTTTAAACATAATGAAGCAAATTATGACTGCTAGTTTTTAAAACAAGTTATTTAAAAATATTTTATTTGTAAAAACTATAAACAAATAATTACGATAACAATATTGTAATATCAATAATTTTGATCTAATACAATCATATTTTTAATTCAATTTTGTAAACACTTTTGTAATTTATATCGGTTAGTTTTCATATATAAACGTGTTTAATTAAGGTGACCATACGTCCCGGACTTTCTAAAAGCAATATTCGTCCCGGTTTTAGGTTTTTGTCCCGGATTTTTAAAAATGTTTTGATTGCCAATATATTTTTAAAAATACTTCAGCTAGAAAATTTGAACCCAAAAAATATGCATTTAAGTTTTTAGCTCACCAACACTACCCCCCTTTGGGCACCCCCCCCCCCTCGTGCACACATTCTAATCCGTCCCGGATTTCATGCAAAAAAAAATATGGTCACCTTAGTTTAATGCTTTTTTTTCAACCATATAATAAAAAGGGCAGTATACAAATCTATCCAGTTAAAGCAGATTCTGAGATTGTTACGTATTTTAGTTCATGTAAACTACAATAAAAAAATAACATTTCAAAACGATATAGTGCGCAATTATTTTGCTGTTGCGCTTGATAAGCAGTTGATCTGGTTAACACGCCAATCAATTTAAAATATTTAAATTTGTTTAAGAACCCCTGATAAATTGTTGAAAACATGTTGTAGAAAAATATTCGGAACCAAAATATGAATAAATTGCAAAAAAACTCAATAAAAGACGGTCTTCTTAAAAAACAAAACATGAGCAACGCTTGTTGGGTGTTTACAGCAGGCAAGACAAAATTTCTTGGAATAAAACATTCATTTCTGCGCGGATCAAATATTTACTTAGCAGTGCTGAAATTTCATAATGTGTACTTTAATGAAAACTCTTACTATGAATATTCGTTACAAAGTTTTTATATGTGTGAGCCAGCATCGTGTCTTTTATCGAAACCTTGATTGAATATGTTACTATGAGTTAAGAAGATGTCATGGAAATAAAATAAAAATACACAAAATCTATATGGTGTCAAATATGATATGATGTCAAATTATTTATAAGTAAACGATGATATGTTATAATTATCATAAAAGGAAACAGAATTAAATAACGGAATTAATAAATAATAAGTTTATATAGTAAAAATAACTATAAAAAGGCGTAAAATCAAATGTAATACAAAACTTAATAATACAATGTTCTTTTATTGATCAAAATTCAGTATTCAAATTGATCAAATCCTTGTAACTACAAATTTCTCGCAGCGATGCGCTCAACTTTCTAACCCGACGAAATAGTGCTCGACATTTTTCTTTAAAAGATCGTTTTTCATAAAAGTGAGTGCCACCTTATTTGACAATAATATATATTTTCCGTGCGCTGTTTTTAAATAAAGGAACAACAAGAAGTGGTCCTAAAGTCGCATAGAGACTTTATCTGGTGAGTAAGGCGGATGGCAATTTTCGGATTCTTACCTCGCAATCTTTTATGAACCAGGATTTGCTGTATGTGCAAACATGGGCGCAAGTAAAGGTTTCTTTGTTTTCAAGGTAATCAATTAAAATCACTCCAAACCTATCGTAAAACCGGTCGCAATTTTTTTCCTACGCGAAGAATCAGTTTTTACTTTAATGGAGCCGCTTCTTAAGGTGTAAGCAGATGTTTCAACTATGCTCTAGTTTCAGTCTTATAATTTTGAGTTCTAGTTTCAAATGCAAAAAAAATTCCAATAATCTATTGAACGCAAACTCGACACGCAACGCGCATACTGTGGACTTTTTTTTACATTTTCATCACCTCGGCACATTATTTTTTTTAATTATCTTTATTCTGCAATCTGTTTTTCACAAACAAGAAGCAGATACGGTTAACAAAAACAAACAAAATAGACTAGAAATTAGTAGCTACATTCAGTGGCGTATTAATTTGGCTTCAGCAATGCTACCATCAGCAGCTTTTGGACGACTAGAAAGTCGTAAATCGTCCTCCAAACTCTCTGAACAAATTAAAATCTACTGCCTAAAATTTCACAGTCGTTAGTGATGGTGCAAAGTATCCGTACACACTGGTCAAATTATCTTGGCGTTGGTTGACTTTCAAAAACAAAATAAAAGCTCTAAACACAATTTCAGCAAATCCCATTTTCAGAAGAAAAAAACTCACATCGTTTGAGTTACATAGTGTCTCTAAAACAATGGTCAATTATAAAAATGGTAAGTAATATTTTAAACTTTGGTCGAAAGATGCACAATTACGACTATTGAAAAGTGCCATCTTTGATGAAAGACCAAAAAAATTCAAATCCTCTATTTTAGTGGTAGATGGTAAATTACCACAAATGGGTTAAAAATGATTTTTTTGCGAGTGAAAATTATATATTCTTAATTGCTATTTACTCTAATTGCTACGTAGTAGTCCATAAACTAAGTTAGCTTTAGTAAAATTCAAATTAAAAATTTAAGTTTTGTTTAAATTAAATTATTAGAGACCGATTCTTCCGCATAACAGAAAAATGTTATGGCAAGGCCATGTTATGAAGAACTTTCCATGCTAAAGTTGACAAAAGCCATGCGGTTGGTGTGCAGTCAGGCGAATTTCTCAGATTGTCTGATAGAAAACATAACCTAAAAGCCGCACAAATGTCGAAAAAACGATGTTAGATAAGAGTGTGTTTCTGATACAGCTACATAACATACGAGTGACGTTGCAATTTATGTGTAAAAGGCCTGAATGCACAGTAAATACATGACGTTGTAACAGTATTCAGTATGATTCATTAGCATAATGTATGGAAGTCGGAGCGTAACATGGCCTTGCCATAACATTTTTCTGTTATGCAGCAGAATCGATCCCTTAGTTTACAAACTTATCATGTAAGGTAATTTCAATTTATACAAAAATATTTTGGGGTAATGATATTTGGGGCTATATAACAAGATACATAAATCGCATTGATTAATTTTTCACCATTCAAGTCACTTCTACAATGTTCCATAAGGCGGTATTAACAAACGAATTCACGAGCGCCATCCAGTGAAATCTTAAGTTAGATAAGTTATGAACCATTCGAAAACTTTTAAGAATAACACAGCCAGATAAATGTATTCATCCAGATGGAAGTCGGAGCGTAACATGGCCTTGCCATAACATTTTTCTGTTATGCAGCAGAATCGATCACTTAGTTTACAAACTTATCATGTAAGGTAATTTCAATTTATACAAAAATATTTTGGGGTAATGATATTTGGGGCTATATAATAAGATACATGAATCGCATTGATTTATTTTTTACCATTCAAGTCACTTCTACCATGTTCTATAAGGCGTTATTAACAAACGAATTCACGAGCGCCATCCAGTGAAATCTTAAGTTAGATAAGTTATGAACCATTCGAAAACTTTTAAGAATAAATAACACAGCCAGATAAATATATTTATCCAGATGGAAGTCGGAGCGTAACATGGCCTTGCCATAACATTTTTCTATTATGCAGCAGAATCGATCCCTCAGTTTACAAACTTATGTAAGGTAATTTCAATTTATACAAAAATATTTTGGGGCAATGATATTTGGGGCTATATAACAAGATATTCAAGTCACTTCTACCACGTTCTATAAGGCGTTATTAACAAACGAATTCACAAGCGCCATCCAGTGAAATCTTAAGTTAGATAAGTTATGAACCATTCGAAAACTTTTAAAAACAACTAACACAGCCAGATAAATGTATTTATAAATTTATACTTGTTTATCTATGAACACAGTTCAGATAAATGTATAGTTCTTTTACATAACTGCTCTCGAATTTTATTACTAATCGAGAAGCATAAAATTGTTTACTAAAATAATCCCAATTGGAATAAAAATGATATGTGTATGTAAGTAAAACAGATGCAAAAAACAATTTAGTGTAACTGACGTAATGATAAACTCTAGTATTGCAAAGAAATGTATTATGGATTAAACTATTTCTTTAATTGTATATTTTAAATACTTTGATTCTTAAAAAGTCTTAAAGTAAAAATGTTTGCATAGTGTAATCTTGTAAGTCTTTAATGTGAAGTATTTTGAGATGACTTATATATTGGTACAGTTTTCAATATATACATTAATAATAGTAAAATCTCTAGGAATAGTAAAAAAAATCTGATAATTTGTTGTGCATATCTAAGTCATCAAGCTTTTCATGTATTGCCTGTATTGTTAAAATATGAATAATCTATGTACAAAATTATAATCATCCTACCTTATTCTCAATATCAAGCATTGTGGTTGATGCCGATGTATACTCTCTGACTCTCTCAGGAGACAACTCGCGAGTACCAAGCCCTGAATCCCATCCCCAACTATCTTGCTTTCCTGCTAATAGTAATCTCGATATTATCTCAATTTCAAATTAATTATATACATAAATTTGGGGAATATAAATTATAGATAATATTCTCTTACCAACACTACTATTTCCTTTTTGGCATATAGCGCCTATTTGAGGTTTAAGGGCATGTCTTCTTGCTGCAAAATCCTTAAGTGAAATTCTGCCTCGTTCATCGGCTCCTAAACCCATTAACAATGGTTTTAAAGGTTCAACTAGACCGAGGGTTCTACACACAGACTCTAAATCCTCACTAAAATGAAATGAATACAGATATTTCAGTCTAGAGATAAAACATAGATTAATTTATTATTCAAAAAAATCAAATAAATGTAATATAATGTAATAAATGCATCAAAGCACAAAACAACCAAACGGAATGATTATATTATGATTATTCACTTAACTTATTTTAAAAACTATTAACTTGCAAAGCATAATTTTAATAGATCATTCATCTAAATATTATTTAACTATCATGTTGAAGACTGCATTGACAAAAGTCTCAAATAACCTTTGTTTGTTAATTATTTTTTAAATATATCTTTAGTGCACAATAATATAAGTTAGATATTATTCAACCACTAGATTTATTTCAATTAAAGTGCCCCCAGATACCAACAATTATGTTGTGGAGTGAGTGGTGGGCATGCAGTCTTTAACATATCAAATAAAAATTATATAAAAAGGCTTTACCTATCAATGTACCCATCACCATCTCCATCGCATAGTTCGAATAATCTTCTAGCTCTTTCTTCATCTGCTATTGAGCTACAAGCCCCATCTTCACTTGTAATATCGCCCATTGTGTTTAAAAGAAAATTCTAACTTTGTCATCTGATAAACATACCTACAAATTATTAATTGACATCACTAGAAATATTGTATCGTACATTCAAGAACAGACTTAAAAAAAATAGTAATAAAAATGCATAGTATTAATTAACTTAAATATTATTAAACATTCACTTTCCAAAAATTGCGAATAAAAAAAAAATCTATTTCTTTCACTAATAATTAGTTTATTAAGATATTTTTTAAATATAATTCAAAACTTACCGAAAATAATGTTATGTTGCCTGATTAGCTGCATGTTAATATATTGTGCAATATTTTGTATGTCAATAAATAACTCATCACGAATATTCGAATATAAAATAAATCAGCATTTTTGTCATAAATTTACCAAAGCACTTTGATTTAAGACATCACACATAATTTATGTTAAATTTTAATATTTGCATATGATATCTATGTTTGTTTATATTAAGAACACACACACCCATTTTCTAACCTCAGGTTTTGTTTACAATTAAAGTTATTTATAGAAAACAAGATTTACTTTTGATTTTGTCAATTCCAACAAGTTTTCTGTTGTGTTTAAAGATTTCGGTTAATTTAATACATGAGAAAATATTTTTATTGATTTTTCAGTAAGTTTTCTTTCGCTTTTGATACCGCCGGATCCGTTTATAAACAAAACTTTGACGTTTCTCAGTAAAGTTAGATTTTCAAACACTAGCGCATTTATTGACCTGCGACGGCGTCAAGAAGCCAATACAGGGTTGGCGCCGCATGCACAAATACAAAATCTACATAATACATTTATAATGTTTGTCATTACAACACTTCTATATTTTGGTCTGTGTTCTTTTATTAATTACTGATAGGGAAATATTGACCATCGACCCTTAATAAATTTATTATTGATGTTTATAGTTCAAAACGCAATTTCTCGGTTTTTAATTTTTTCGATTCTTCCTAATTGGCGAGAAAGATAGGAAAAAAAACTGCGTCCTATCGAAACGAGGCAAAATTCATTGAATTCAGGATAAAATTCTATTCTAGTTGAACCTAAAGAAAACTTGAAAAAATTATAATTAACCCACTTTCTAAACAATTTAATGTGAAATTTTTTATCTAAAAACATGAATTTTGTTTCAAGTTGCGAAAAATTGGTAAATTTCTCCTTTTTTTTCTAGATTTTCTAGGTTCAACTAGAATCTATACTATTGAAAATATATATTTGCTTTGATTTTTTTGATTCGCATGGAAATTGTAAGCTGCACCTTTCCCACCAAATGACACCTGCACGCTCGTGGCGCATCGGCAAAATGCTTATATTCGGCATATTATGACATATATTTTAATAAAAAAAAAATTCGAAGAATATTCAAATATATAACAATAAAACCTGTAAGTTTTGTTTCAATTAAATATTTATTTCCTTCCTGAATAAATCCTCAAGAAAGCGATTTTTTAAGCATCTAAAGCAGGCTCTCCCCTTATATAATAGTTTGTCTTGACCAAATGTAATTCAACCACACTCCTTATAATGTATTATATTTGTAAGGTGTATGAATAGAACCTTCTGCTACGAATGTGTTTTATGCAGGAGCGAGCGACCTTTCTGTAAACCGCACACAAAATATTTTCAGATTATCAAAAAAAGTATTCAAATATTTATAATTACACTTCTACAAAACTAAAAATTACAATTTACAATAATTTAACTCATTGTCAGAGTCGTCTATAAGAGACATTTGTTCATACAGGTCGTCAAACGAAAGTCGTATATAGACGAAGCTCGTAACTAAAGGGTTAAGATAAACACTGGTTAAATTTTTAATCGTTTTCTTTAAGCAGCAGTAGAAAATAACAGTTATGATCTGTTTTTTTTTTTTTTTTTTTTTTTTTTTTTTTTTTTTTTTTTTTTTTATTTACATATATACATTATTTTCATATCTCAGTCAGACAGAGGTGCCTGGTATGAGAGATTATGAAAAACAGTTTTCATATAATATTTACATTTCATTTGACTATAATATCTATTTCATTAATATAATATCTATATATAACTCTTCAGTCTTCTTTTTCTTCAATTTCCATATAGTACTTCTTTATTTTTCTTTTAAAATTATCATTATCATTGGTCATCTTAATATAGTCTGGCAATTCGTTATATATTTTGGTAGCACTCCATATGACATTTTCTCTCAAATTCTTTTTTCTATTGCGTTCAATGTGAAAATTGTTGTGTTGTCTCGTGTAGTGTTCATGTATATCTTGATTTGTGTCTATTGTTGCACTTGTTTTAATTCGGTTAAATTTCATTTTGTGTATTAGTTTGCATTTCTCTATTTTAATTATGTTATTTAGTGAATGATTATTTGTTTCTCTCTGCAAGTATTTGGTGGGTGTTAGATGTGGTAAATTATATGCTATTTTTATGGCTTTATTCATTATTCTCTGTATGTCATTTAGGTTTGCTTTAGTTGTTTGGCTCCATGTTGTTATGCCATATAAAATTATAGGTATTATTTGCGTTTTAAGAATTAGTATTTTATTTTTTTTGCCGATTTTTTAGTTATGATCTGTTTTGTTGATACTTTTGGTATATGTTGGCTTTTATACAATGCAACCTTATTGTTGTTTGTTTTTGATATTGGAATATTTTAAATTTTTAATTTTCAGTTGAAAACAGAGATTCATATTTTCAACTGAAAATATGATATTACTTAAGATTGTTCAAATCGCGGGTTTAAACTACGTAATCTTCGTTACAAAGTCGGAAGCGGCAAATTAAATATAAAATTGAAGCTAAAAATCGCTCAATCGACTAAAAAGCAGCATGAATATTAAATAAACTGCGCATATGTGCAAGTCATGAATAAAATATTTTATTACTTTATAGGTGAAACTAGAACGAAGTTAATATTTTTAATAAACAATGAGAATTTATCTATCAATTTGGAAGGTGAATAAAGATCTTTAGCCCCTTTAGTATTTAATTAAGATCATACAATATATTAAATTATCGATTATTAAATTAAAATATATTTAAATAAATTCTTTATTAATATTCCTTTTTATAAAATAACTATAAAATAATTATGTACCTCATACATATAAAATAAACTATAAGAAGCATTAAATATAAATAAATTTAACGTAACTTAACTATTTCTTCTTCTTTGGTGATCCATCGTCTTCCTCACCAGTTGACTTACGCTTATTTGACTGCTCAGTTTCTAATTTTTCTGACATTTTTTTAATAACAGAAGCGTTCGGACTGTATCCCCACATGATCATTTCAACGTGAATTTTACTAGGATCTTTGTTCATTTCAAATAAATCTAAATCGTCGTTTTTATATTGTTCTTCTAATTTAGCCAGTTCGCGGTTACGTATTACATCCCAAGTCGTGTCCGAGTCTGGTTCACTGATTGTTCGTAAGTGTTTATAATTTGGGACTTTTGCGTATGCAGCGAGGAAACCATCTATTAGATCATTCTTTATTTCATATTTTTCGGCAAACGGTTTGAAAACTTGTACAATGGAGTACGTTAAATAAGTTCTTTGATTTTTGCCCATGTTCTTTGTCTCAAATTCATCCAGAAATTTATTAAATACGTTAATTGCTTCATTTATATTATTAATCTTGTCCTCGGCTTTGGTACCTAGAAATAATAAATTTGTACAACCCTCGCTCGATTAAATTTGGGGACATGCAAAGTAAGACTGTGGCTTTACAAGCAGAGCCAGCAGGGAATCGTAAACATACACATTCTTAATACACACACAAACCATTATATATATACATAATATATATATATATATATATATATATATATATATATATACATACATATGATGTTCGATCAATTGGTTTATAATACTTACATTGAAGAACACGCTTTGCACGTCCTAAAAGCCCTTTTACGGCGAGTTTCATATAATCAGGATCTCGACCTTCCAGAAGTTTCAACGATTCTTCCGCTTTTTCTTTATCCTTGAATCCTAAACCAGGAACTGTTTCTGGATTCTTTTCACCTTTGTCGTCATCATCGTCATTCTTTGGTTTCTTAGCTGGCGCATTTTCCTCTACCCATTTCTCGAATACACTGATTGCTTCTTGAATATTCGTCCTTTTTTCTTCATCTTTCGTCACTGGTAAAAAAACAAATTAACGATTACTAACTAGAAATATAAAAGTAAATATGCACAATCTATTATTCAGCTAACAATGCCAAAATCCTTAATCTCTGTAATATTCTTATAAATATCTAAAAAGTTTTTAGCTACTGCTCTTGATAATTATATATATTCTATCTCAAAAAATGTGCAATTTATTCAAATAATATTAGGTTGTCAAATATCTCCCTTCCGCTTTTTTGCTCTTGGTTTATAATACAAAAAGGCGGAAGGGAGATATTTGACAACCTAATATATATATATATATATATATATATATATATATATATATATATATATATATATATATAGCTTTGAACTTTAATACATATTTATAGCAATTTTTTACTTCAATTAATATTATAATTCCTATGCGCCAGGAACAGTCTGCATAAATAAATATATCAGCATTGGTTCGCGAGAGAAACGAAAATGTATACATTACAGTGCTAAAATAGATCTGAAACTATAATTTTGCTTTGAAAATCCGTTCTATGTAAATTAAGAAAAGTAAAAATTTGTTTCTTGGAATTAATTACATTTATAACGGATGAAATAGTTTTGATGTATAATCACATAACATAACATATGCAATTCGCACATAGTTCTTACAATTAGTCACTAGAACCTAGTGTTTCGAGTTGTAGGAGTATCTATTTATAAATACGGGTACTTGAAATTTTATACAGACACTTAAGTAAATGCATTGCCAAATAACTAAACCGAAAAAACAAGTATTTGCTTCTCGCCAGAATGTATCAAGATGTGTTCAATGAGTACATATTAAACACAAACGGGTTTCATCAAATAGATTTGTTTCAAACATTACCGAAACGAAAACAAAATCTTGCACAAAGGTCAACAAATATATCTAACCAACATCCAGTTTTGATTTGGAACTAAATGACGGCTGATAGCGCGCTTGGATTACATAAATATGCAACAAATCATCTATTTATTCTGTAAGAATAATGCACTTTATTCATTCAGATCTCAATACATTTAGACTATTATTTTAATTGTTTTAATATGAGATTAATATACAAACAAAAAAAGCTGTTAAGAATTAATATCAGTATTTAATGAAACAGTTTAAAAAATTAATTTGAAAATTTTTCATAATATTTACAACTCACGCTAATTCTGATTCAAATAATGGATCAAGTAAATAATTTCCCAATATTTACGACGAATAAAAATAGATGTTCGCATAATTTTAATGAAATAACAATTTAAGAACTTATAAATATTAATTAAAACGTAAATTATTTAATAAAAAAAATACGTAAGCATTTAGAGGTATTATGTGTAATAAATTATGAATTCTTTAATCGCCATGGTCAATTAATTAAATCAAACTAGTAAACCATATAATTTTAATCACATAAATTACGTTATATTCAGTAAAAGCGTATATTATACACAAATTAACTTTTTTAATCGTTGCGACGAACTTAGATGTTATTAGAAAAAAATATTTTAAAAGGTATTAATGCGGTATTTTTTTTTTATTGAGTGAGAATTTACAAGTGATGATTTGGGTGATTTGTGATTGAAAATTAGGATCAGTGAATTAGTGACCATTTTTTATAATTTTACTGTACGTCATTGAAAAAATATTAACTGAACAATTGTACTAATTGCGTTGAAAAATAATTTTCAGCTAACGAACATTTGAACAACTTGGCATTCAAATTTTTTTTGAACAAAATTGAAATAATTGAATGATAATAAATATGAATGCAAAAAAGTTATCTTTAACTCACAAGTTAAAACTTTCTTAGCACGTCCTAGCAACCCTTTAACAGTGAGTACTTGATAATGAGAGTCCTCGCTTTCCAATAACTTAAGAGTTTCCTCGGCCTTGGCTTTGTCCTTGAATCCGAATCCTGAGTCAGCGTTGTCCTTGGACATATCGAGGTCTTCTGCTTCTTCTGCCTACCGTATACAACATATATACAATATATATATATATATATATATATATATATATATATATATATATATATATATATATATATATATAAAGTTTACGATTTAAATCCAAGAAAAAAAACTTGAGTAATTTCAATGTATGTACTCAAATGCAAATATATAGTTTTGAACTAACTTGGCTAAATTTATATACATTATAAAATGTATATGAATGTGTATTCATATATTCAATTAGTAATCGCTTGAATTCAACCACTACATGCGGTATTTAAAGCCTGTCTTTTTTACTCCTCGGAATTACTGTCTCCACGAAATGTATGGATCAATAAATTTTAATTACTTCAGTTTTTACTTGTAAAATATAAACATGGATTTAATCTAACTGTATTTAATTTGATGGTGCAAAAATGCAGTTTAGTTTAATTATTTCTGTAACTATTGATCAGCACTAGCAGCCGCCGGTAACGTTCAATCATTCTGCAGTTTTAACAAAATTATAACAAAAAGGTTAACAAAATTATGAAATTATAGTTTTGCGACTTATTTCCACATTCCACAATATTTTTATTTCTTGAAGCACATTAGAGAAAACTGTCAAGCTATGTAGCACCTGAATATTCCATGTATAGGAGTGAAAAAATAACTTATTTCTTGACTGATACTTCTATATAAACTACAAATGGTAAAAATTGTGTTAAAAAATTCGACAAAATCACCTGCGTCCTACGATTAACTTTTTACTCAACGCACCGTGTTGGTACAATCTGCACAATTCAAGTAGAAAACATTGATGGTAACAACTATTGAAACTTATCAAATAATTCTGAATAATTGTGAATATATCAAAGCGATCTCATGAATCAGTAAGTAACAGATCTCTTATTTTATCCACAAACACTCGCGACAATATTATTAAACACTATAAATAAATATTCCATCGAACACCCTGTAGAAAATGAAAGGACTCACCATGTTGTTTATTTGTTGCTATGTTATCTATGGGAATAATTATTCCAGTTTGACCGAAGTGGTTTCCTCCAAGCCACGATCGGAATTGATAAATATTCAAAACTAGGTCTTGAAGCAAGAATATTTACATAAACCGAACGCTCACGGATTCAACCGAACATAATGCATCGGTGCGGAAATTCAAATTTGACCGAACTGTTGCAACGATGATTTTTATTAGGGAAAAGCTAGATTAACATGATCATTAATTTCGGTTAATTAGCGGATATCAAAATCAATTTAATTTTGTTATGAAATTAAATTACAGATAATTCGAAATTTTCAAAAAAAATTCAAAACTTACAAAATACATCAAAATTTTAAAAACAAAATTTAATAAAACAAAATGGCACATTGTTAAAATTCTAATAAAAAATCTTTTGTTTTGATACAATTTGATCCAATATTTGTTTTTGGCTAATAAGTGCCCGTCTTTTGCACTTTTGACTTGTGTCTAGTATGCCTTTCTCAAAAACCTCAACGCATTGTAAATATGATTCGAATGTTTTTTTAAAAATTCAAACACATTAATTTAAGGGCAATTTTCAGGGTTTGATTTTCTTAGCATTAACTTCCCGCAGGGTAAGAATATCATAAAAAACATAAATAATAATAATGTCATAAAAATCGAAAATTTTGCGTTTTAAGGTCTTCTAAACATTTCTAAACATTTTGGAATTGATGTATGTGTGCGTACGCGCGTGTGTGTGCGGATACACATGCGCACACTATTTGTTTCTTTTTTTATAGGTTCCGTGCCAAAATTTATAATGTTTAAATCTCAGTTATATAATTCAAACGACAAATGCCTTCGTCATTTTGGACAGCATGAATCAACAGACCTAAAGCTATGAAAAAAGTGAATCTTTTTAATTTTTTTTTAAATTCGATATTTTCAAAAAAATTCAAATTTCCAAAATAAATCAAAATTTTTACCATGCTGGAAGTTCCAGCAATTTGCCTTAAGGCGCAATGCCATGCATCACTAGTTTTCTACATACATACATTTCGCAAAACCTTTATATTTCATATTAATGTATTATCACGCTCTCATAAAATTATTTTTATATGGTATGAATGTACTAAAATATTATATATGTATATTTTTTATAATATTCTATAGAAAAATATATCACCAACGTTTTTAGAATATCCGTCTTCTTAACTCTTCACTATTTTAACGATGACATAATAAAGTACACTTTCCACTACAAAGGCCGTATAGTATTGTATGACAGCGTTTTAGCTAGTGGGTTTCGTTTCATTAAATTAATTAGGCGATAATTTATAAATTTCCTTTGCGTGAGATCGATAAATGCAGGAAAATACAAAACTACTTTTTTGTTTTTAATCAAGATACTTTTAAACAGTAGTTTTATCCTAGGAAGCTAAGTTTTATGGATTGTACCTTCATCTTGATTTTATTATGTTGAATTATAGTTGGTGAATATTTTTACATTTAATTTTGAAAATATTTAATTCAAAGTTTACGTGGCTTGATACACTTGTAATAGAAAATAGTGAAAACTATTATTAGGATATAGTATCAAATTTTTGTGGCTATGGATTTTATATAAAAATATATTATTAAATATTTGTACGCGTTTTGTACTATATCACTTTTTTTAAATTAAATTTAATTAAATTAATTAAGTTACGAGTTGATTACATTTTAACTAAAGTATAATTAATAAATATTTTAGAAAAAAGCATACTTAAACGCTTCGTATAGTTAAATTTGAGATAAGATTAGACACGTCTTCCAACTTATTTTAAAAACTGATGTTGAGATAATTTATTTACTTTGTATTACATATTTTCTGCCAAGTTGCAGTTATTGGTTGTACCACAAACTAACACAGCATTATCCGATGCACTTAACGCATAGCAACGCAACACGAGGACACAAACGAATTGTTTATTAATTTATTATATAGGTTTAATTAATTATATCATTAATATTAATGGTTTCCGGAAACAAATACAAACCTTTAATAATAAAAATGTCTGAACAGTAAGAGATACGCTCACAGACTAAACGACAGTATTACGTCCATGTATTTTTATTTGTCTGGCTAGATGATGACATTGGTCTTGGGATATAGAAAAAAATATATGAATTCCCAGAGAGCCGGTGGGTATAAGGTTACGCATTAGATTAAAATTCTAAAAGAATATAGGCAAAACTGATTAAATGTAGATGTCGAAATAAACATTATGCATATTTGTTTCTTATGTAAGCCCGTTGGGCGTTGAACATCAACAAAACACCACAATTTTCTGTTATCTCTCAGAATTTATTACAAACTATTTATATAGCAATGGACTATAATTATTAGCAAAATTTGAAGCCTTTTGAAATGTGTTTACACAGAAAATGTGTTTCTTAATTAGCATGAATAATTTTAATAATTACAAATATAGACAATAGAATCTCGCTAATCCGACACTATTAAAATTCGGAAGGTGTTGGATTACTGGAATGTTTGGATCACTCGATTATAGTGAAAATTTATTAAATTTTAATATATGATATTAGAAATAACGTTAAAATTCCAAAATTAAATTTAACATATGATATTGGAAATAACGTTAAAATCCTCAAATCCCTCGCGACCGAAGCCTCGTGTCAGATTACTGAAGGTGTAGGTGTATGGATTTCGGATTAAAGAATTTCTACTATAAATCAACAAATAAATATTATTTATATATATATATATATATATATATATAAATATATATAAGGGATCAAAACTTACCGAGTCCTATGGAGCTGTTGTGCTGCTTCAAACGACTTGGCTTCTTATAGATTGACAATTTCTGTAATACTGATGAGTTATTTATTAATACAACAATGCCGTGCAAGGGCTATTTTCACATGGATATATATTGCTATCTATGTTTCCAAGTGAAAATTAATATCACTACTACTTCAAGATTACCGAGGCGGGTATCGAACCTAAAATCTCTGTTTATAAATCCATAGCTCTAAAAAAACACATAATATCATAGTTTTGCTTTTAGTTATCTCAAACTCGCAGCATATACGAGTTTTTGCTTACACAATTGAAGAACCTAGAATTAAATAATGCATTAAATGTACACGTAGTTCAGTATTGTTTGTTTCTAGCTAAATGTGTTTATCTCTAAATTTTTTGTTACTAATTACAATTACTGGCCAGAAGACCTACTAACTTAATTTCAGCACCGTTCACATAAATAGGCTTCTAGAAATTTGTATTATCTGATTATAATAAATAAGAAAAAAAAGGAGTGCGCGTAAGGTTCACACGCGATTGAAGTAAAACTTATTTGCTACTGTACAAGATGGCATTTAAGTAAAAATAAATACACCATATAACAATTTTGAATAATGTTTATTAGTACACTCGTGATGCATATATTTATTAGTGTCAACCATTACACATTTATATAATGATAAATTATAAATTATATATTTATAATAGCATTAAAAATATGTATAATATTTAAAAATAATAATGTAATTAAAGTCATACTTCAAATATAACATTATCGGTTTGTCATTGTAATTAGCATTTAGAAATGAACCTTCATTAGAGAAATGAAGTAATTGCTGATTAATAAATTCTATAATATTCGTTCACATAGTGGATTATGTTAAACAACGTCTAAACAAATATTGTTTTCGCAACTTCATCATGGAATTGTGTTTGAAGAGCTGTAATATCTGTCTTGTCTAAAAAATATTTTCCATTCACTTCAAAGATTTATAGAAAATACGAATAATATAGAAATAATTTTTAATCAATAAACTTACTAATCATTAGTCTTATTAATCAATATTTTCAAGGAACAAGGTAAAATATTCTTCTGATTCAGGCATTTTTCATTAAATCAAGATTTGTACTACGATGTAACTTTAAAATCTTTATTTATCTATGCCGATTTCCTTGTTGACATCAGTACGCATACAACGTTGATGCCGGTACGCATACAACGACAGCTCTCTATTCACATACACGACGACTAATCACATTCGACACGCATTGGAATGATTTCATCGAAAGCGAATGACGTACAGTTCTCCCGTTACGGACTTCCGTTGCATTTGTACGGATTCACACCTTAGTCGCGCCTAAAGAAGTTTTACTTCAAAAACAAAAAATTCCAATTAAATGCTAAATACAAAGCACTCCACTGAATTTTAAACATAATTTACTTAACCATACGCTTTAAATAAAGAACAATTTTTAACATTATATTATATTAGCTCATTTTATATTGTATCTTTAGCAATATCGACTTATTATTATGGCTAGAATTACCGTCTGTTTGTTCATATCCATGAACTCATATTAGACAATGCAAGGAGATATCAAAAAGTTCTAATAACTGGCGCATGGTAAAGACTTTTTTTTATTATATTTTTAACAGCAATCAGAACTTTACGTCCTATGAGCTGTTGGGCTGAAACTTCTCCTTACTTCATATTTTTTAGATGGTAACCCAATGGTTAATCCATCCATATTTGATGATTTTTGTTATTAGAATTAATCTAATAGGGCTGACTTTTTTATTGATGCAGCAATGCCGGGCAAGGGCTATTTTCACTTGGAAACATATTGCTATCTATATTTCCAAGTAAAAATCGTTGTCACTGCTGCCTGACAACAGGCTGCTCGAAGTGGGTATCGAACCTGGAATCTCGCATGGTAAAGATGTGTCTGAAAATAAATTTGATAAGTCTTCTTAATACGAATCAATTTAATGGAAAGATGTTCGGTCAATGTTATGAAAAGCAATTAAATATTGGCAATAGCTTTAGTATTTATATTGTATAGTAATATAGTTGTGTGAGATATGGATATGGATGTGGCATCGCCATCGCCATCGCCCGAAATACAGAATGATGTCACGCAGCCGACGCACATAACACAGCTTTAGCGGTCGGGTCGTTCGGATGCTTTTGCGCAAGGTAGCCGTACGAATAGAATCACTTGCAGAGCCGCATTTATTAATAGACTTAATAAACTATCTAATTCATAAGCCTGAATGACCAGCGATCGATATAATAGCCGAACAGATATTCAATTAAATGTTTAGGTGTGGCCAAGAGCTTTTTTCGAAAGAAGCATTTCTGTTTGATTTATATTATATACTGTGGTACTTGAGATACGAGATTAATTCGTTTCGAAACCACGCTCGTATGTAGAATCGCTTGCATCTCGAAGCTCTTTTTTTCATAAAAATACATTGAAATGCCCTTAATTTGTTCCAGTACTGTGGTTTTTGCTAAGTTTTTCGAATATTAAAAATAAATTTACTATATATTGATTTGATTATTCTTCCTTGTCCAGACATGATATTCATTAATCATGTTTCATCTGCAAATTGTTGCAATTTTTCAGGGCGATTTTTATCCACAAACCTTCAGAGCTCAGAAAGCTGCTTATGAATTATTGCAAGGTCCTAAGCTAAAGTTATGCCCTTTATCAACTCCTTCTGTTCAAACACAGTACATACCTATGGTGGTACATCCTCGTCATCCTCATATTTTTCAATAATTTCACATTTTAATTCAAGACACATGGCCGCTTCTTTGAACCCACGTTTATAAAAGTACATTATATTTTGTAAATGCACAAAAATGAAAAAAAAAACGCAAACTCAACGTATATAACCGTACAATCACTATTAATGCATAGTTAAAATTTCAAATGTTAAAATAATCCTTGATATATTCGCGTGGTTACTACAAAATTAATTATAGGAATTTATAATTAAAATTTCTAACAATAAGTATAAAATAATTTACTATCATAAGAGAGCCAAAATACTTCTATGGTAAAAAAAATCATTTCTACATCTGACAAAATTTTTCATATTTTCATTATGCCGTTAAAATTTTTCTAAAAAACTCTTACTCGCTTAAAGCTCGTATCTCGAATTTTGTTCGTATATCGAAAGCAACGAATCTCTCTTTTGGTGGCTCGTATCTCGAAACACTCTTAAGTCGGGTCACTCGTAAGTCGAGGCAGAGAATTTCATTAATAGCAAATAAATTAAAACTACATTTTTTTACTACTATGTCCCAATTTTTAAATATTAAAAATTTAATATGCACATCCGAACTCTTTTAAAAAGAATTTATCAAAAAGCATAATTATTCTAATTTTATTTTTATTTGCTGGAAATGTGTTTGTTTGATAGAAATATAAAAAGATGCATTTATCATCTTTCACTAATTAAGAACCTGTACAACTATGAAAAATATAACTTATTGCATATAAAATTGGCACTATTACACAGGCCGATTCTGCCGCAACATAGACTAATGTTATGGCAAGATTAACGTTTTTATTATAAAATGGTAATAAAAAACTGTCAAATGTATAGTATTTGCTGTTTAGCCAGGCGTTTGCATATAAAATATAACTTCACTCATTATTATGCCACATCACAAAGATGCACTTATGATAAGACACAGTCATAACATTGGTCTATTTTAAAGTCTCAAATTGTATGTCCATTCTACAATTGCACTATAGTTTCAGAAATCCAATATGTTCACAATAATTTAATTCGGGAAATTTTCCTTGGGAAAATAACACATTAGGTATGCAAGCAAACACAACGCAAGGAATACGTAAATTTGGCCTAAAATTATTTGCTCAATTTAATTCATTAATTTGATTTAAAAAATCATCTACAATTCAGCTCTGTTGCTTGACTAGTTATTTGTTTTGACATGACTTTTTTACATATGAGGCTGAAGATAGCCATTGAATATGCATATCAAACAAGTTTAGCATTATATAACTTTAAAAATATGCACCTTTATTCATATTCGAGTGGCTTCTTCCCTTGCCGACAAAAGTTCTTCGAATCAATTCTTTCGAACTTGGACAGGGGTGGACAAAGCGACCGAAACTGAAACTCAATTCACATTCAGTAATTACTGTCACAATGAAGTTATATTGATAATATTTATATTTACCTAGAAAAGGTTGAAGTACTTTGAAGTTTTTCGAAAATAAAAAATATAACGTGAAAAAGATATGCTTTTACAGTTTATATAGTTTTATGCATTTAATACTTCATAGCGAATTCATCACAGAAGAATGGTATCATTGTAATCCTGAACTTTATACAGATGCTACATATTTTTTGTGTTATTAAACAATTGTGAGTTTTTTATTTGTAATATTACACCATCACACTTTAGGGCCTTCACTAAGCATTGTAAAACTATTTTTGGGTTTTGTATATTTAACTCGTTTATTTTTTATTATATTTTATTGTTAAAATTTTTATTAATATTTAATAATAAACATCGTACCACTTAATACAATATTTGAATATAAAATGTACAAAGTTCTGAAAGGTCGGAAATAAATAATATATTCTCACACAAAAAACTTGTTTTATTTGAAACTCAGCACCGCTATTAATGAATCCAAGAGTCATCAATCAAATATTTATATAGTTTCATTTTTATCACTCCACGTTGAAAAAATAAACAAATTTAAAAAATTGGTGGCTTATTTAAGATGACCAATGATGACGATAAATTTAAGAAAAAAATAAAGAAATACTATAAGGAAATTGAAGACAAAAAAGACTGAAGAGTTTTATATATATATATATATATATATATATATATATATAAAGATATTTTAATTATAATAGATATTATATTAATGAAATAATTAAATGAAATTTATATATAAAATATGAGAACTGTTTTTCATAATCTCTCATACCAGGCACCTCTGCCTGACTGAGATATGAAAATAATGTATATATATAAATAATTTTTTTTTTGTTTATACGTTTATTTGTTGCATTTTAAAGCTAAAACTTGTTTTTGATTTCATTTACAATTTTCTTGAAGCACACATTAAAATTTACTGTGTGTTTGTGATATCATATATTTGAAAGCCATCCAATTAAACTTTATTAGCACTCGCGCTTATTGGTTTTTTACGACGACCGCACCAGTCGTTTTTTAAAACTTGCAGATAAGTAGATAATTTTTCGTCAACGTTTTCACCAAAAACTCTGAAAGATTTTCAACATTCAAAATCTTCTAGAAAGATATCAGGAGGTCGTGCTGATTAGTATTTGGTAAAGATCATTTTTTCTTAATTAATTGTTAAAACTATTTTTTTATGAAAATTTTGTGATGATATAGATAGTGGTTTAACGAATATCCTAACGCATCATGGGCCTACATAAAGTCGAAACTTTAAAAAAATTCAATAAAATTTACAATAATGGGCCGTATCAAAATTACAAAATTCTATGATGGCAATTTTAAAAGTTGCTAAAATTCAACTCTTATTGATCATGTTGATTATTTACCTACACATTTCGAAAAGTTTTCACAACTTGCCTTAAGGTAAACCACAAGCCAATGCCTCTTAAACCTAGTTTTCGTCCAGCATTAGTCTCTTTCATACTCTGTAGAATTTTGGACAAAGAAACTTCGACTTTTATCAATTCTTGATAATTTTTTATTTTTTTACTAATTCTAAACAGTTAGCATCGACTTTTATTTTCGCTACGTCGGCTCTGCTCCTTAACAATGTGTTTATTCACTCTATAGACTCGCACTGCGCGCCATTATTTTATTTTGCCTGAAATTACTAGCGGCATCTTTACCGAATAATAAAACTAGAAATAAAAATCAATATACATATTACAATTTTGATAAAATTTATAAAATTAAATCGCAACGGCGTTATGTATACACTACATCGTTATTGTTCGGTTACTTTTTCAAAATATTTAGAAAGACAAAAAGATTATTCATTTTATTTCACTGTTCATTTAAAAGTTAACTAAAAATTAAATCATACAAATATGATTTTTTTTAAAATTTGTATATTATATTTAAACCATGATACGCTCATAGTGCTAAAAGTGTAATTTCTTTATTAAAAAAGTATTTTCCCATCAATAATCTTTTTTATTATTTTATTTACTATTCACTAGCAAACCCTTAATAACAGAGAAGTATAGACGTAGGTTGAAAAGAAAAGTGCCACTGGATTTAAGTCATCAATTTTCCTGTTAATGATTGAAATAACTTAGTCATTATTTATAAAAAAATATTTATAAGTAAATAGTTAAGATTAAATCATTATCAATAAAATATTGTTAATGTTATAACGAATAGGAAAACAACTATTGAGTTGTTTTTCCAACATGCCCATTTAGTATACAATGTCCCTTTACGGCTGACAATTGTAAACTCTACCCCCAAATTTATTAAATGTCCTTAAACTGAACAGTTGTAAATAAAATAGAAAATAGATTAAGGAGACAACTGTCTCTTTAATCTTGAATCTTAAAAGCATTGAATTTTTCCTGATTTTTCTTAATGCTTCAATTCTTCCTTAATAACAGAGAAGTATAGACGTAGGTTGAAAAGAAAAGTGCCACTGGATTTAAGTCATCAATTTTCCTGTTAATGATTGAAATAACTTAGTCATTATTTATAAAAAAATATTTATAAGTAAATAGTTAAGATTAAATCATTATCAATAAAATATTGTTAATGTTATAACGAATAGGAAAACAACTATTGAGTTGTTTTTCCAACATGCCCATTTAGTATACAATGTCCCTTTACGGCTGACAATTGTAAACTCCCCAAATTTATTAAATGTCCTTAACTGAACAGTTGTAAATAAAATAGAAAATAGATTAAGGAGACAACTGTCTCTTTAATCTTGAATCTTAAAAGCATTTGAATTTTTCCTGATTTTTCTTAATGCTTCAATTCTTCTACATTATTAAAGAGACAAGAACATTACTTTGTTTGAAAATTATAATCTTAGCAATAAAATTGTTTAAAGCCATTTGTCCAGAATAAGCTATTTGAATTAATTAAACATAATTTGAAGAAAAAACGATAATTCATATTTTGCATGTATTCAACACTTTACATTGTGTACATTGATTTCATATGATAGCCAAAGTTTACAATAATAGAACAACAGTATGTCAAATTAAATATTACAAAATCATATTTTTACCATTTGTTTCATTCTTTGCTGTTAATTGCATTTCGCTATAGAAAAATCCGCACGCGTATGATACATTTGAAGTGGCATGTAGTTTATGTATGTTTTTATAGGCATATGTGCTATGTTTGAACTGAGAAGAATAACAAAAATATAATTGAAAACCAAGCTTTATTAATTTTTTAAATAAATAAGCTCTTTACATTAAATATCATATAACGTTTTCCTTTAAATTCATCACCGCGACCATATTTTGCGCAAAAGTATGTTTAGATTTTTTGAATAAAAAAAAGTTTGCAATTCCGATTATTAGTCTAATTATAAAAAATAAACGTGAACAACGTATACAATAACACAGCTAACTTGATTCATTTACCACCCTTTAATATTTAAATAAAATTCAGTCAGAATTTATCAATTTACAATATATAATTTTTTGTAAAATACTCATTTCATCTTATGCTTTAAATAAAATCACAAATTTGTGAAACAGGTGACACAAGCTACGACTACTTAAAAATAGAATAAATACTTAAAACATAAATTATATACAGTTTTAAATGCTTCTCCCAAACACTTATTTGCATGGACGAAAAAGATATTATTATTATTACAAAACAACAAACATTTCGTCCCTTTGGGTAAAGTATCAGCATCGTTATTCTAATGTTATAATATATTATATTTAATATTAATCATCTATTTATTAAAACTTAACTATATAACCAAATAAACAATTTTGTTAATGTTATTTACATATAATGTTTGTTTTAGTAATAAATGAACTGCAGCAACCTTGCACGCTCTTCGATAGAAGAAGTTAAACTGTGTCACATGTATCTCAAGTGAGTAATTCAATTACTAATATCTTTTAAATAAAACAAAAACAAAAAACTTACCTTGTAAGATCATCATTAAAATTAAGTTCCAACGTTTGCATACGCATGCGGGTAATAGTGTTGAGTCCTTAGACAATGAGAACCGTCAGTTCCTATGTATTGTTGCAGCGAATGAATTTGTATGTGACTAGCATTATTATAAAATGAGTGATACACTGAACCTTGGCTTTCATTAGTCTTGGCAATAGTTTGCTGTTGACCAGCAGTCATAGTTTGTTGGTGTTGTTGATGATTAAGCTGATGTGAATTCAGATGTTGCTGTTGTTGCAGAACGGGACTGTTATGTGAGTGTTGATGACTGTGGATTTGGTCATTGGCAGGCTGTTGATGTTTGTATTTGACTCGTTGCTGAGATGTGATCCCCGACGCGTCCTGCGTGCCGTTTCCATAAGCCATGTTGAACAGCGCCTCCGGATCGCATACGAATTTGTAGACGTAACGCTCGCCTAATTTAAATTTAATTCAAATAATACTCTAACAATAAACGTATCTAAAATCATAAGCCATACATAATAATCTTCGTATAATAAAAACGAACTAATAGTTTTACTCGGGCAGCAATATTTTAAGAGAACTAATATCATTTTATGATAGAATGATGGTTCTTCTTATAGATTTCGTGGTGCAATAATTTCATTGTCCGCAATCTCGGAGCCAACCGAGCGATATGAGATTTACGCTGTTGCCTCAAAGGCAGAAGGCCGAGTGTAAAGAATCTAATTGATATTGGTTGAAAACTTTAATAATACTGACTGGCTTTACTAAAAATAAAACATATAGTTGAAAGTATAGCTGAATTTGTGATAGCTGAATTGTATGTGTGCTTATGTGCGTATGTATGTGCGGACACAAATTTTTATCCACGATTTCGAGCAAACAGATCAACCGATTTTAATGATTATAAAAACATTGGATTCCTATTGATGGAAAAACGTGCTGATTGATTTTTAAAAGAAGCTGGTCCAGCCGCTTCGAAGATACAGTTAAAAAAATGCCCTTCTGCGGTCAAAAATTATCATTGGGCATAGGAATATCAAATTATCAGATATTTTATAGAGATTTTATTAATAAGTATAAATTTTGTTTACAATTCTATAGGTTTCGCACCAAAATATATAATGTTTAACCGTAAGATAGTAACGCTACGTTTAAATAATTCAAATAATTTAAAAAAATTCAAATGTTTTCAAAAATTAAACTAGTGGGGTGTATGGCATCGTGCCTTAAGGCAAATTGCTGGACCTTCCCGTACCGTAACAAAATGTTCGAGGAATATTAAATATTTCAAATAGATTATTATAAAATTTTTGAAACATTTTTTTTCCAAAATAAATTATTTTGTTAAAACAAGCAGAAAGTTCTTTGAATCATTTAAATCGGACGCTTAGTTCTCTCAAAACTGCCATTTTCTGCACATTTAGTTCTGTATCTTTGAAATGGCTAGGCCTGCCTTTGCCAAAAACTAGTAACCACTTCTCCCAAGCATTACTAATTAAATGATTTTTAGATCATTCAAATCGGATGCTCCGTTCTCTCAAAAACTCAACTGCTGGAGGTGCCTTTGCCAAAAACTAATCACCACATCTCCCTATCAATAGGAATCGAATGTTTTTTGAACCATTCGAATTGGTTGATCCGTGTGCCCGAAAACGTGAACGAAAAAATGCGGACACACAAACACACACACACACACACACATCCAATTTTTCTGAGGTATGCCAAAATGTTCAGAAACCTTCAAAACGTTGAGAAATGCAAAAATTTTCAATTTCCATTTTTGGACGATTACAATAACTTACCCTACGGGAAGTTGAAAAAAAATTATTTTTCAAAAAAAAAACAAAATTCTAAAAAAAAACATTTTTTTAAAAAAATTCTAAATTTTTTAAAGCTTTTATAATTTTTAAGTTACAGTACAGGATGTTTGTACTGTACCAATAATTTGCCTTAAAGCACGATGCCATGCACCACAAGTTAAAATTTGAAATTACAGTGATAATATTGTATTGTCTTGAAAACATAGATGTGAATACGAGGTTATCACATGCTTGGTTTCAACTGTATAGTAGTTATCTCAAATTGCATTTGTGATAACCTTAATAATCTTAGTAACTATGATGAGAAGGTGCAGAACTAATAATAATTTTCACATTCCGACAAGCGAGTAAAGATCAACAACTTTTGAAATTTCATAGATTGAGCTTTACAAGGTATTATATTATTATATCTATTCTACTATAGCTACACGATGGGTACAGCGCCCCTACGTTACCTGCAACTTTTTGCATAATGCCCTTCTCATAGTAATACCTCAGGGACCTGCTCAGTTTGTCGTAGTTCATGGCCGGTCTGTTTTTTTGAAGTCCCCATCGACGCGCTACTTCTTCCGGTTCTACGAGTTTAAACTCCATACCGCGTCCGGTCCACGCAATGCACCCAGAACTAAATAAAAATTATCACTACTGACAAAATATATTAAAAGAGTCAAAATATAATAAATTGTATATATTTCAATTTGACTTTAAGTAAGGTGACCATATTTTTTTGCACTAAATCCGGTGCGGATTAGAATGTGTGTGAGAGCGGGCGGACGGGTGGTGGTGGTGTTGGTTGGTTGGAGCTAAACTCAAATTTTCTAGTTGAAAAATATTTAAAAATACATATATTGGCAATCAAAACATTTTTAAAAATCCGGGACAATCCGGGACAAAAAACCTAAAACCGGGACAAATATTGCTTTTAGAAAAAGCCGGGACGCAAGGCGGAAAATCGGGACTGTCCCGGCTAATCCGGGACGTATGGTCACTTTACTTTAAGTAATTATATTGTGAAAACCCAACCACTTATACCTCAACAAATAACACATATCAAACAAAGAACTATTTGACTAAGTTCAGTAAAAATTAGCTGGGTGTAATTCATCATTGTAGAAATGTGTTTACAAAAGCGCAACTAGAAACTTGCTGTTTTTCAAAAATTTATAACTTGGTCTTTTTTAACCCGCAGGCGAGGCAAAATGAGACCGACAGGGGACAAACAGGTCCAATGTCTTGCTTAAATTTTGAAGAAATTTGATAAAATATTAGCTACATTATTCCACCAATGCAAAATATAAATGTTATGTGTGCATTTTTTACAGAAATACACTATAAACAATCTTGATCTGGTATATCGTAATATTCAACACCGAATTTGGAATAACTATTTATTTAACTTATATCTTGTAAAATTGCTTTTCTTCATTTAATTTATTTAATCATTTATTTAATCAATTTATTTAATTCATTTAATTTACTTTATTTTACTGAAATTAAAGAAAAAACGATTTTGCTTTTTTATATAATTTTGCATTTTGCTTTATAAGAGGATTTTTTTTCAAATTTAAATTATTTTCCATATTATAGCTCCATAGATAAACAGAACAGCAAGATAATCCAGCTCCATGGATAAACAAGTATAAACGCCCTCCGCGAAACTTTCATCGCGTTTTTTTTCGATACTTTTACTTTGTCTGTTCCGATACGATGTTCACAATTTTTTAATTTTTACTCGACTAATTTATATGAAATTCTCTTCAGTATGCTCAAATCAACTCATCCTCAAATTCTGTTTGTATATGGCTATTTTGTGAAAAAACATTATTTGAGCTTGTCCCTGGTTCATACGGTTGCTAATTATATATAATATATATAATTATATATATATAATATATATATATATATATATATATATATATATTTATTTATTTGGAGAGATAAAAACATGGGTATGGTGAGGTATCAAATTTTTGAGATTTCAACCTATTTTTTCTTTAATTTTTTTTTTGTTATTTTTTTCTAAAATCCTAAAACATTAATTAATAACTTGTTAGAAAAAATATATTAAAAATATTGTTTGCCTTTTTACGGGCTTTCAAATATTGCATAAAATTCATGGCTGTAGACCAGAATACTCCCCTACTACAAGTGGCTATATTAAGAAAATTAGAAGTGCCCAATGGACAAACACAGGTGATAGACCACATGCACAAAAAATATCGTGAATTGAAAGAGAGTAGTTTAAAAAGTAGAATACAAAAAATGAACACTAGACAATAGAATAAAAAGTAGTATATATATACATATATACTATATATAATATATATATATATATATATATATGTACTAGACGACCCGACAGACGTTGTCCTGTACCCATGTCTCCATTTTTTTATGATAATATACTAATATTTACTGTTTACCTAAAAATAATAATTATTGTTTTTCAAATTACTCTTCACGCCAAAATGCATATACATTTATGATATGAGCGATGTTAAATGTAAAGCTGCTTTAAACAATGACATGTCGTTTTTTGCAATTTTTTCCATTAATTTGTACAATATTGCACATTCATCCCAGTACTTAGAAAATTTCTTTAACAAACTTCAGAAAGATTCATCAAAATCCGAATAATCGTTTAGAAGGAGTATACAGTGTGTGCTTGTAATTTAATATGAACATTATATAAAAGGCATAAAGCTCAAATTGATTTTACGTTTCAGTTAGAAAACATTTGTATGTGAAAAAGAATAAGGCTGTTTTTAGGGTTTTCACGGCAATTATTCGATTTTTTTCGCCGTAAGAACCATCCTTGGACTTCAACAAACATTTTAAAAAAACAATTGGCCAAATTGGTTCAGGCGTTGTTGAGTTATGCGCTTACCAACATATTTTTCGATTCATTTTTATATATAAGAAGATATATATATATATATATATATATATATATATACTAGCAAACCCGACGAACTCCGTTTCGCCACCAGATGGGTTCGTGAGAAAGATGAAGAAATTTTTTGTTTGTTTTATATTTTAAAAGGAAAAATTTGATTTTATTATACAACAGTAACGAATTTATTTTGATTACAAAAATGAAGTGTTTTTTAGTTGAACTTCTCTAAGTAAATGAAAGTGAATCCGCAAATTATCCGTTTCCTGGAAGTGATCTTTGGTAAACCACATTTTTTGTTTTTTGGTCTGACGTTAACACAAACAAAACGGATGCTTTTCTAACTCGTGAACAGGCAACGTATAACTGCCCATGTGAAAAACAATGATTTTCTAAATAATCTATTTGAAATTTATCCGCAAACACTAAGCGATTGGCCTTGCGGCTTGTTAGTTGTCATTGCGAACGCAAGGCGAACTGGAAATTGCAATCATTTGAAGTCAAATGGAAGACCAGTCGGAATCATTCGTATGTCACCAAATCGCCAGCAATTTTTGATTGAATGGTGAAATTCAGTGCGTGTACATCATTATTCTCTGAGGCAAGAATTGCTCGTTGACTTAACCAAGCATAATTCTGATAATTCTTACTAATGTCATTACTTGAATTTTTAATTACGGTGCGTGAAGTTCCAGCAGCTTGCATTAAGGCACAATGCCAAATTATTTGAAACAGTTATTGATTATTTTTTATTAACTTCAAATTTAATTTCGGTGCGTGAAGTTCTAGCATGTTGCTTTAAGGCACGATGCGATGCCCACTAATTTTCTTAGCTATAAACCTTGCGGAGCCCGAGACCTTTCCAACGAATGCAAAATTGTCGAAATCGGTTCGTGCGTTCTGGAGTTATTTTTGTCAGGAAGGAAACCCGACTTATTTTTATATATATATAGAAGATATCTATTTGAAATTAATTAAAACAATTGTTGATTATTTTCATTTCTCAAATTTTTAATTACGGTGCGTGAAGTTCTAGCAATTTGCTTTAAGGCACGATGCCATGCACCACTAATTTTCTTAGCTATAAACCTTGCGGAGCCCGACACCTTTCCAACGAAAGCAAAATTGTCGAAATCGGTTCGTGCGTTCTGGAGTTATTTCGTCAGGAAGGAAAACCCGACTTATTTTAATATATATAGAAGATATATATATAAGTCTGTTTTACACGGTAATATATATAGAAGTATATATATAAGTCTGTTTTTACACGGTAGATTGGTTCCAGAAGAAGCCGTGTAAAAAAACGTATAAAAAAAGACATTGATCTTATACAAAAATGGGTGATTTGTTCCTAATCTCTAAAACCTATTAAAATTAGTGAAAAACAAGAATTTTTAAGAACAAGAATTCATGTTTATTTTATTAAATCAAATATATAATGCTTATTTTCACAAGCATAGTAATTAATGATAAAAAAGATATGCACTCTAATCTAAAAGTAATATAAATTAAATGTATGGCAACTTCAGGAACTAAAAGTTTCAGACTTTTTTTTCAAAAATATTTTTCTGTGATATGAACATACTTCGCAAAAATTAAATTTGATAAAAAAATTTAAGTACATAAAATTTCAAATCGTGCTAAATGGAATAAAATCGTGTAAAAAAATTAAAAATATTCAATTTTCAAACCGTGTTATATCAAAACCGTGTACAAAAAGACCGTGTAAAAACAGACTTAGGTGTATATGTATCTTTATTTTAAACACTTTTTATAATTTACTAAAAACAAACTGAATTCAAACAAATTACATTAATACGTTATTTTAGAATAAACTAAATATTCATTAAAAAAAAACTATTTGAAAATATAAATGTGTTACTCCATAATGCTACCGTTATTTCTTCATTACCTTGCCGCCGGTTCATCCAAAAGCGCAACTAGAAACTGCCACAATTGTAGCGAGCCTCGCCTGGGGTGATGGAACGGGTTGCCCGCTACGGATATCACCTGTCCGGCGCTTGCGTGAGCGCTCGTAGTGCCGTGAGATTGCGCGCTCGTAGCCGCCGATGCTACGAGGGGCGTGCTGGATGAATACAGACCAGCCCCAGGGACGTCGACTCCGCCTAAAATGAGGCGACAGGTTACTAGGGTTGGATTGGAAAGAAATAAAAATAAAGGTGTAATTTCCTAATACAAAATATTTCCTGACAATAATTGAGATCTCAATAAGAATTCAAATCGAGCGAGTACTTTTTTTAATTCAAATGCGACTAAAATCGATTGTCAAATATAATCTAAAATTATTGAAATTTTTGTAATCGGTCCTGACGGACTTTTCTCATTTTATTCCTAACTAGAACTTCTGTTGCGACACAATAACTGCAAACCGCAAATCAAATCGACGCAAGCCATTATTGTATTATATGAAATGTATTTTAAATGTTTCAAATAGATGCAACTTATTATTTAAAAATCTTGAGCATGGCATTTACATTCATAATCACATTTTTTAACTTCCCGTAGGGCAAGTTATAGTAATCGCAAAAAAATCGAAAATGAAATATTTTATATATATTTACGTTTCAAAACCTTCTGAACATTTTGGCATACCTTAGAAAAAATGAATGTATGTGTGTGTGTATGTGCGTGTATGTGTGTGTGTTCAGATACAAATTTTTGTCGACGATTTCGGGAACACGGATGAAACGATTTGAATAATTTAAAAAGACATTCGATTTGTATTGATAAGAAGACGTGCTGATTAGTTTTTGGCAAAGTCAGGTCTAGCCGTTCCGAAGATATGGGGCAAAAAGTGCCAAAAACGGTAACTCAGTTTTTAAGAGAACGGATCGCCCGATTTGAATAATTCAAAAAACATTTTACTTGTATTAACAAGATAAAGAACTGATCAAATTTTCATGAAGGCAGGTCTAGCGGTTTCGGAGATCTAGTAAAAAAGGTAAAAAAAAAATGCCATTCGACAGTCAAAAATAATCATTAGACATATTCACATCAAATTATCAGATCAGATATTTTATAGAGATTTTAACAATAAGTATAAATTTTGTTTACATTCCCATGGGTTCCGTACCAATGTTTACGCGTTAGACGGCAACGCGGCGCTTACGCACTTCGATATTTCGTCTTTATGCAGTTAAAGCAGTACGATTGCTTTAAAAAAAAGTTCAGAATTTTTAAAATATTTCAAAATAAATTATTTAAGATAGAATGATTTAATATGGTTCGAAATTCTATTAAAAGTTTCAAATCATTGATCAACTTTTATTAATTATTTTTAATTAGGCGAATTTTGAATTGCGGTACAGGAAGTTCCAGCAATTTGCCTTAAGGCACGATGCCTTAATTGCTTCCACTTACAGCTAGTTTCTTCAAGTTTTGATTAGAACTGATTTCAGAAATTCAGAATAACATGAAACGCAGAAAAAATCTAAAAGTAGTGTACCGACTTTAGAATTAGTGTATAGGCTTTTACGCAAAAACAAGTTTTAATCATATGAAATGATTAAAACTTGTTTTCGCGTAAAAGCGTATTTACTAATTCTAAAGTCGGTACACTACTTTATATATAATGAGTCCGTTAGCTGAGTTAAACTCCAACTCGATTTAGGGAAGAATAGTGTGAGAGATTTACCATTTTTATTTCATACCGCAGTGCCTGAAATGGGCTATTTTCAATTGGTAACATATGTTTGATTTATACTTGCAAATGAAAATCAACATCGCTACTGCACGATGTCAGGTTGTCCAGAGCGGGGTTCAATGTTTATTAATATTGATTAATGATAGTTTTAAGTATTGCCTTATTCTTCTGGTATTGCCCAATAAAATATATTTTAATTTAAAAAATGAACTTTTTTATAATTACATAATTATATTTATTATTTTGCTAATTTAATATGGTTTTAATATGGTATAATATAATTAAAATATACAAGTACACATACAAAATTATAAATAAATTTTAATGCATACATTGCTTATGAAACAAGCTACTTATGAAACGTATAATTTATAAAAATTTAGTTATTTTTAGGGTGCACTTTTATGTGTTCTATGAACTGTTTAGCTATCCCACGTCCTTAACCGTTTACGCTACTGCGGGATTGAAAAATTCAGATACGATTTGTAAAAAAATGCACGTTATACCCATCCCTGTATCATCATATACTCTCGACGATCCAAGTTTCCAGTAAACTCCGCCTGTATGGCGAAACAAACAAATGGGAACATTGTGAAAATGGAAGTTTAATATTTTCCCATATATGATACTATAGTATATATGATACGTCCAATATATACATTTTTAACTTTTACTTAGATTCTTCTAAAATCAGAATACCATAATCACTCAAATCTAACTCTTCTTTAATTTTAATTTTAGTCATGCATAAGTTATATTTTGGGATATGTGAAATGAATTTCAAGTGTTTCAAAGTTGTATACTTTGAAATGTATAATTAAATTAAAACTAGTGTTGTATGGTATCGTGCCTTAAGGTAAATTGCTAGATCTTCCCGTACTGTAACAAAATATTCGAGATAGATTAAATGCTTTCAAATAGATTAATATAAATACTGTAACTTATATCTTTCCAAAAAAGTAAATAAACAAAATTTAATAAATCGAATTTAAAATGAAGGATATTGTCAAATATTTATAAGAATTATATAAACTGAACAGCAAAGTTAAAATTATTTATTCGAAGTATATAAGTGAACTTTAAAACCTTAGGTAGAATTAAAATTAAAATTCGAATTATTTTCGATATAAAAAAAATTAATTTGAAAATTAAAAAAAAACTTCATTTTTTTTCAAAAGGAATCGTTTCGTCAGCACGAGCATAATACTCGTCTAAAAAACGTACGGTAGACATATAGATATATCAAGGGATGTGATCCATGGAAAATCATAAAAAATCGTAATAAGTATTATACGTAGGAGAAGGATATCTAATTCTGTAGTACATCAGAAATAACCCACCTGTAGTACTGCTGCAAGAGGTAGTGCTATCAGCTGCTGCAGCTGTGTAGGCTGTTTGCTGCTCCGATTTATCAGATGCTAACGTATTTGCTGTGGACGCACTATGAAGTTGATGTTGAGCATTATTAGTTCCAGCACTTATTTGTTGATAGCTAATCACTGACGAAGGTCGTGGGCTATATTCGGGAAACGTCGTTTGGGGTGGAGACAGGGTACCTACGTTGCGAGAAGAGTCAGCCCAGGTACCTAGTAATTTTAAAATTTTTTTTTTTTTTTTAATTTACTAAATCTTTAACATCAAAATTTCTAAAATTCAAGCACTTGACAAATGCTATAAAATTATTTTAATTATTATCTTTTATTTAATTTATTATTACAAGTATTTAATGCATATATTGTAATTTTCTCAATTTTTACAAATAAAATGTACTTGTACTTGTATGTACTTATATTGTACATTTGTGCAGTAAATGCTCTATATGTAAAATGTGTTATTACGTAGTAAAATACAGTAAAGATTTTTATATAAAAATTAATAGAGTTCGGAAAAAGAAGTATATATGCTCTATCATTGACGCTGATTGCAAATAGAATGAAATGAAATCGTGGAATTCATATCAAAATATCATCACTTTATTATTATAGATTTCATTATAGTTATTTTTATATACACATATATACCTATTTTTTAAAATCACTGCTATCAGTCAAATCTTACTGAATTAATAAATTGATTCTTAAGTTAAAGTTAAACGTTATTTTCAAGTTTACATAATTAATAGTACAATATGTACGATTGCTAGTATATTTTATAAACTTATAATTGAAATTAATTATAAAATTGAGCAGCGCACAAAGATCCAATTTGAGTTTAAGAAATTACTGTTTAATCTAATCCAAATGAACTACATCACAACACATATTGCGTATCAAACAAGCAACTATCGAACCATGATCAATAAAATGACCAGATGATTTCTAATTACAGAAATTACTGCTTTTTACTGTTTTTCTAAAATTTGTCATTTGTCCCTTTATACCCTGTAGGCGGGCTGAAATGAAACAGTCATGGGAAAGCAGATCCAATGTCGAAATAATGTCTACAATATTCAACCAATGCAAAATATAAATTTCAGTTTACAAAGTTAACACTGTATATGGCCTTGATCTGGTATTGTGACAGAAATATTCATCAGCGGAGTTGTAATAATAATTAATTTAATTTATTTCTTACAAAATTGCTTTTTCTCAACTGAATTTAAATTTAAATTTAATTTTAATATATATATATATATATATATATATACTCGTATATATATATATATATATGTGTGTGTGTGTGTGTGTGTGTATGTATACTTATATTTGAGAATTTAGCTTTACAAATATCTTTCAGTAATATGTATAAATATGCAAACGCTTTATAAAAACCTTTATAAAAAGTGTTTCAAAAATATCCACAGTAAAAATTCAGTATGCAAATTCATGAATGGATCTTTTATAATCTAAAACGTAGTTGGAGATTAAATCGTGTGGCTCCCCTCGTCGATGGTGTCTCGTCTCGTTCATTTTTCAGTTTGTACTGCGGTGATTTATATTAATTATTAACATGATAATTAATATAAGGCGGTTATTATCGGCGAATGGCTTAAGATGTAAAGCAAGTGCAAGCGGTTTAATTTAAATTAATGAATCTATATTGCTGATTAGCATTTAATGGAAGAACAATATCGTAATACCCATATATGAATCGAGCGACTACTGCATTAAGATACTTTTCAATTACATTACAATGTAAAATGACAGATACACATTTAAAATGTACGTATTATTTTTAATTTAAAGTCCTAAGACTTAAATTTGTCATATTTGTTCATACTCGTATACATTATAATAGTACATAAATAGTTTTATCACGTTCTACAGGCGTAAAGAAAACTAAGATGTGTGTGTGTATGTGCGGATACAAATTTTCATCGACGATTTCGGGAACACGGGTCAACCGATTTGAATAATTCAAAAAGCATTCGGTTCGCATTGATAAGGAGACGTGCTGATTAGTTTTTGGCAAAGGCAGTTCGAACCGTTTCGAAAATACGACAAAAAGTGCCAAAAATGATAATTGATTTTTTGAGAGAACGGAGCGTCTGATTTGTATGATTCAAGAGACATTTTACATATTTGTATTAGTGAAATAAACAATTAATGAAATTTTTGGAAAAGCATAAGTAGGATAAGACATAATCTTAAACAGTCAGTCAGAATATTATAAATAAATCCAGTAAAGTACAAATATATTTCTTCATTAGGGCTCGCTCGCAGGTGAGTGGCTAGACCGAAGAAATCTGAATCAGAGAACACAATATTGATACCCGTTTCAAGCAGCCTGATGTCAAGCAGTAGTAACATCAGTTTTTACTTCAAAATATAGATATTAATCTAGTGAAAATAGTTCTTATCCTGCATTTCTGCATCAATAAAAATTTCTCAGTATTACAGATATTGTAATAATTAAATTCATCGCGTGGACAACTGTTTGGGTTGCCATCTTTAAAAAACAAAGTTGTATGACAGCAATTCATCACAACAACTTTTATTGTTGTTTATCTTTAAGTTTTGATGTGCTCAAACAATAATAAAATAAACAGAATATTGTTACGTTAATAATACTTCTAGAAAAAACTTCACCCAACATACTCTACAAATAACTGTTTCAAACCATAATCCGACTACTAATAATGACACTTAATAATAATAATAGCAATATCATATTGCTTATATGAATGAATATTATCATGAATTATAATTTATATTAGCAAATTGTATTCATAATCTATTATCGGGCCATCTAGTTTTTATTTACATGTTTTAATAAAAAATGTCAGTCTGTGTAAGTCGATAACATTTTCGTCGCTGAAAAAATAGTAGAACATTTACTTTTTATTTTGAAATATTAATAATTTTCGCAACGATGACTGTAAGTTTCAGTTATTATTCTTGATTCTTATCATGAAAGTATGCAATTATTAAGTCACATATTATGTATAAAAATTAATTCACGCAGAACACTTGAACAAATCGAAGATTTACTGCATCCTTTATTTTCTTGTTTACCCCTTGTTGATTTTTATAATATATATTTAATAAGAAAAAAATGATAAACTAAGTTCTTCGAGGTAAATTTCATTCTGAATCGGTTTTGCATATATTTGCATACGATTCATTTTTCGGTAAAGGTATGCAATTTCCTGGTACAAAGTACGTGTGTGCAATGTAAAATAGAAATTATTAAGAAAACACGAACAGAATTCATCAATGAAACGATTTCAACCGCTTTAGTGATGTCGACACTATGATAAATTTTCGATCTTGATTTATTTATTATTATTATATATTTAAAAGTAACATTAACATATATTTTAAAATTTACTTAAATGGTTGGGGTTATCTTTTTTGTTTTTCTGCCGTTCAGCAACATGTTTTGTTTGATTAATGAATTTTTAAATTATTATGTTATAAATACAATTTAATTTAATAGATATGAAGCTGCATAGAAATTTGGTAAACTTGTATATATATATATATATATATATATATATACAAGCCGAAACGGGGTGATAGAATTGACCTTAACTGTCGTGAAAAAAATTAGAAATAATTATCTCACGTTGTTTGGATATTTTTAGCTTTTAAGTGCAACTAAAAATATTACCAATTTTCGGTTATTGTCGTCAATTTTAACTAATTTTGTTCATTTAAACTTTGGAAAAAACAATAACACAATTGCCCTTTACAAGAATTAAGACTTTTTGTTGAACTATGATGTTAAAATTTTTAAAATTGGTTGACTTTGAGAGCGCCTCCTGTAAAAAAATGTACTGGAGTGTGTTGCCAAGTTGCATTAAAAGTTGGTGCATCATCTGGATTGTAAAATGATAAAATATTCCTCATTTCACTATTGAAGAATTTCGAGTGAAAAAACAAACCTCAAAATGACATGATTTTTGCTAGTGGTACATTTTACTCAATCAAACTGTATTTTCTCAACGAAGGCTAGAATGTTGGCCGATACGTATGAATTTATATTATGTGTATAATTACGCTTGTGGTAATTAGTACAATTGATTATGATCGATTAAGAATATGTCTATAAAAAATATAAATCAATACAATAGAAAAAACCCAATTCGAAAAAATATTTCCAGTTTACTACACGATTCAAAAAAAAAAAACGACGCGTGTTATATGTCAAGAGGTATGCTGTGTAGCAGAAGCAGCCATGTAAGGTTAAAAGGGGATTGAAAGCACCCCTAAAGTATTTTTACACACAAATGAAATTTGGTGTGAGTAATCTGATCATCTCAATCCAAAAAAAATATTGTGACAGTAAATTATAGCAAGTATTGTGGTAGCGAAAAAATATGTCATATGCAAATCGTGATATTGTCGGCGCCACGGCGTCTCTGATCGAAATAAATTCTCGACTACCATGAGCAAGAAAAATATTCTTGTATATAGAATACAATTTTGAGAAAAATTCACGTGTGCAACAAATATAAATAAAACATAAGATTAAACAAATAACAATTACATTTTTATAAGTTTGAATGGTGTTATGTATTTAAAATTTTCAAAATTGGCGCAAAATTTAAAAATTTAGTAAATGTAAGCATTGCGATATACTTAACATATCAAATAAACAATTTATTATATATATATATATATATATATATAATAATAATAATAAAAGAACCGGAAACGAGGAAAAGTAGTGTGAGAGATTTTCCATTGCCATTTCAAACCGCAGTGCCCAAAATGGGCTACTTTCTATTGGAAACATATTTCATATCTATATTTTCAAATAAAAATGGACATCACTTTTATTATACTTATATATATATATATATATATATATATATATGTATATATATATATATGTATATATATATATATATATATATATATATATATATTATTGCTAATATCTATACAACCAAAACAATTAATAGCAACTACTCACTTTCAGGTGGCTCTCTTTTAACAGAAACTTGTGGCGGTGGCGTCCTAAAACGAAAGCGTTTTTATTTTATATTAAGTAAGATTTTATTTTATATTATGAATAACTTTTTTATAATACTAATCAAATTAAGGTTTATTTTCAGAATTTATATTTAAAACTTTGAACATTTAACAAAAGCCAATAATATATAATAGTACTTCAACAGATCTTAATTTAGCTCTAACTAACAAAATATTTTTATTAAATTTTGAATATATAAGAATTTGTAAAAAATCATCACTTTTTGTTACCATTAAACGTTCGTAATGCAATTGTTTAAGATAAATTTCATTCATTTTCAAGTGCATTTCAATAATTTTTAAGATGTTTACAACGATCATTGGTGTCTATTAAATTTGTGTTCTTTAAAATATTTTACTTATAATCATTATATTATATAATATAAACAATTTACAAATTTTCAATTATATAGTTAATTGAATACATTGGCATGGGAAGCTTCTTATATTAAGTTAAATGTACATAAGTACATAACGTATATTTTTCGAGGATCTCTACATTGAAATTGTAATGGTAATAGACGCCAATAATTTATTATTTGTCATTTGTATTATTTTGTTCTGTATTGTTTGTAATTTACGCATTTTGTTTTGGATGCAACACTCCAGATTGGAATTATCTCTGGAAATTTAATGGATTCTTCTCTTTATTTTTTATGATGTTTTAAGTTTCTCTAATTCTCTTTAAAAAATCACAAAAACATAATTTTTATGGAATGTATGTTCCATTGAACACATCGTATTCTAATATTGTCTAGGATTTCCACTATGGGTAGACCAGAATACAATATGCATATTTACAATTAAATAAGAACAAATGAACACTACTATAAAGCTTTATTATTTAGTAGACTTCTACCTATCAAGTCTCATTTCAAAAACTCAAAAATATTTTAGATCTCTCGTCATTCGATCATTCATGTAATTAATATTTTAATTCGCTTTATAATTACCTGTATCCGTAATTTGAATTACAAAATCCAAAAAAATTTCTAGATGGCGAAGAACCATGTACAGAATCAGGCTTGGTATTATCTGTAAAAAATAAAAAAGACTTGAAGGCAAAACTTAAATAATTGAAAAACTAGTACTACTGAAAAATTATAAAAAATTCTTTATAAATTTATTGAATAAAATGGTTACTTTATCTCATTAACATTTTATTCTGATTTGAACCAAAATCGATTTAGAAGTAAGTCGTATGATTTGAGGAAAGATTCTAATAACTCGAATAATTCGGCACAACTGGTAAATTACACTATATGAATTTATTCAGATTTAGCAAACAAAAAATCAAAAATAGCCGTTACAAGCTTGACATGAATAGTTTTAATCAATATTATTCATTAAAATAACTATGAATTTAAAACTTTCTACTCGCCGCAGACCACCAGTTTAGGATTATTATTTTTGCACTACAGTCGATTGTTAATAAATGTATTAAGAAGTAATGTAGCTCATTGCAGTGTGTATTACAAAAATTACACCTTATATTTCATTCAAAGTTCTTGTTTCAATCTATATATAACAGAGTGTTCAGGTGTTAACTAACGTACGATATTAAGTTTCTTCAATGAATTTAAATTAAATGTTTATCAAATTTGATATCGTGATTCAAATCAAATGATTCTGAATAGTTCTAAGGCGCGACTGGGGCCATGGATTTGAAGTATCTACTAACTTTTCACGAAAGACCATGAGAAATTAGATTGTTTTATAATCAATGTGCACGCATTCATGTCTTTGACACATTTTCTCAATAATCTATAGCTGTGCAAAATATGGGGCATCCGATAATCGATCGCGCATCTTTTCCGTAAGGGGCTCCTACATGACTTTGTCACTGCGGGTGGTTCATTTTCCAATCTGACGTGATGAAAGGCGAATGTCATGGACTAAACGCTTCGAGTCTTTGATCTTATTGATTGAGAACAGATAACACAACGAGACTTTTTAAGAATTCTATATCGGTTCTAAGTACGCGAAAACATGACTCATTTTATAGAATAAAAACACTAACAAAAGATAATTCATTCTCGCAAGCGTTCGCTAACAATTCAAATAAAAAACGAATATTATCAGCATTCTTTCAGTGAATGTTAGTCACTTGTGACTAGGTATGTAATAATACATGCAAAATTCTGAAGAACTAAAACCTAATAGTCGCGCCAATGAAGATTTTTTGCAGAAAATCTCCAAACTCTAATTTAATTTAATTTAAATTAATTTGTTTTTGTTTTTTTTTGTATTATTCAAAATCACAAACTTTTCAGAGAAAAAATGTGTGTGTTATTTATATAAGCAAATAAGTTTTCAATATACAATATTTACATCATAAAAATTTCTTGTGTGGGTCAAGAAATATATATGCGTTTATAAAGCATTTTTTATTCAATTTTTCATTACTGTGAACCAATTTGCATAAAGTTTTAGAATTAGGCTTATCCTTAACTTCAAAAGTGAAAATATATGATTTCCGCACCCACCCTGGTCGAAGTTGACACCCCTGATCGGTGTTTTATAATGTACTGTATATTAATAGAAATAAAACCTGAATAATAAAAACAAGTTGTTCAAAAAAATCCAATCCAAAGTTTTTCAAATTATTCTATATTTTATACGTAAATTTTACAATTTTTAAGATATTATGAGAAGACGGTGGTGTTAATAAAAAACATATTTTAGCAATAATAAATTTTGAAATTAAGTACTGAAATTTTCTCAAGTTTTCTTCGTTGTTGGATTACATACAAAAATACTTAATACGTAAATCTTAATACCTAAAACAATCTGTTTTAAATTTTTTTTGCTAAATAATATAAAACTGAGATTATTTTCATAATATCCAAAAATATTCAGTTGTGTAAAATAAAAATTTTGAACAAAAACTATCATGTTAATGTAGTAAGTTTCTGTTCACATTTAGTTAAATATGCGAACTCCACTTGTAAAACTTATTATTGTGGCAATACTTACATTTTGAGCCCACCTTGACATTTCTGTAAGTGACATTTCTGAACCCTAAGAAGTCGAAAATTCGCTAAAGATATTACTTGAGGATGTGCGTTTACATCAAAGATGTTACATGAAATCAATCCGAACTTTATCGATTCTTGTTCAATGTTTACAAATATAGACAATATTTTCTTCTTATAACACAAATCATATAATTTCGAATTTTATAGTTTAACATTTTTGTTAATTAAAGTTATTACTTTGAATAAAAAACTAAAATAGTGCATATAGAAAAAGTTGATACTGTGTTGTAAACAATTTTCCACAGATGTTTCAAAAAGCCATTGATTTTTAAATCAGTTAAATACTAAAAATTTGAAGATCAAAATTTACGCAAAATTGCATTAAATATTAGGTGTATATTCATGTATATATTATATTATAATAGTATTATATTATTATAATAAGGAATTACAATGACATTGAACATGTAAGCAAAGGGCACTTTTGACTTTACGTAAGTGGCATAAATGAATATAATCAATCTTGATCAATAAAAATTGAGATTTAGTACATAGTGTTTAGACGAACATTTTACATTTAATATAAAACGTTACTTACAATAATTGCGTTCGTCAAATTTCAGAATATGAAATTACAGAGCAAAATTTCAAAATTCAACCGATGTTTGTTAATTAGAAATATAAACCGACACCTTTCAAACTGTTTTTGAATTTTTGAAATTGATTTGAAATGTTAAAACATGGCCGATTTTTTTAATTGTTAGTTACAACCAAATAACTCACAAATAATTTTTAACAAATAGCCCTTTGAAACCGGTAGACTTGCTTTCGAGAAAACGTAGGCGAAAAAATTTTGTTCATATTTGCAAACTCATATTCATGCAAAATTCTTCAATCAAATCAATGCATGTATAACTAGTGCATAGTATCGTGCCTTAATTCAAGTTGCAGGAACCTCACTTACCGTAATTTATAATGTTTAGAGCTTTAGATTTTTCTTTCAACCAAATTATATTTATTGAGAATTTTAATTTTTTTTGAAAACTTCTGATAGTTTTTAAAAGCGTTCGCGCTACGTAGCCGTTCTAGAGATGAAATATCTAAAACAGCTACGTCGTAGCCTAACGGTTTAACATTATAAATCTTGGTACAGAAACCATAAAAATGTAAACAAAATTTGCACTTGTTATTAAAATTTACATGAAATATATGATTACTTGATGTACATATATCTAATGATCATTTTTGACCGCTAAATGGCTTTTTTTCAACTTTTTGTACTGGATCTCCGAAACCCCTGAGCCAAAAATTTAATCAATTCTTCAATCGTCAATACAAGTGAAATATTTTTGAACAGTTTTCATTATTTACTTTATTACAGCTACTATAACTTACCCTACTCGATCTTAAAAAACATAAATACACACTACTAATTGTTCAAGAAGTTTGTCAGCATGTTTCAATATAGAGCTTAAACTAGTGGTGTATGGCATTGTGCCTTAGGGCAAATTGCTGGAACTTACCGTGCCGTAATGAAATATTCGAGGAATATTAAATGTTTTCAAATAGATTATTATAAATACTGTAACTTAAATATTTTTACAGAAAAGTAAATAAACAAAACTTAATCAATCGAATTTGAAATGAAGGAGAACAATTGCAAAGTAAAAATTATTTATGAGAATTATATAAGTGAGCTTTAGAACTTAGATAGAAAAAAATTAAATTCGAATTACTTTCGATATTCAAAAAAAAAAATTTTTTTTTTTGAAATTAAAAAAAAAATCCCAAAAGCAATCGTTTCGTCAACACAAGCAGAAAGTTTTTTGAATTATTCAAATTCGATGCTTAGTTCTCTCAAAAACTGCCATTTTTTTCACATTTAACTCCGTATCTCCAAAACGGCTAGACCTGTCTTTTCTAAAAACTCATTACCACTTCTCCCCGTTATTACGAATTTTTGGAAAATTCAAATCGGATGCTCTTTTCTTTCAAAACTCAATTTGTATTTTCTGCACAATTTGCTCCGTATTTCCGAAACAACTGGACCTGCCTTTGCCAAAAACTAATCAACACATCTCCCCATCAATAAAAATCGAATGTTTTTTGAACCATTCAAATCGGTTGATCCGTGCACCCGAAAACGTGGACGAAAAATTGTTTCCATACATACATACATACACACACACACATATTTTTTTCTGAGATATGCCAAAATGTTCAGAAACCTCTGAAACGTGAAGCAATGTATAAATTTTCAATTTTGATTTTTGGACGATCACAATAACTTACCCTACGGGAAGTTAATAAAAATTCAAACGCTTCGAAACTTACATAAATCGTTGAATCGTTGCTCATATGAAATAGAGGGTATTGTAATAAAAGTCGAAAATTTTCTTCGTAGCCGGAGCAGACGGTTTGTCGGGATGTCGGGTTGTCGGGATGCGCAGCGCATATCCACCGTGCATATCCAGCACGTTGTATCCAGCATGTTGCGCCGTGCCGCGCCGCCTAATGGAGTTATGTGTCTTGGGACTGGTATTAGTAGCGAGCCTGTTTACTTATTTACTTTTCCACTTATTTACTCAAGCACATTAATGATTTGAGCCCCAGGGGTTTAGATCTCTCGTAAAACGCCATTGTGTTTAGTTCGCGAGTTATATGCATAAGTAATATCGGCACTTGCATTCGCCAGCCCAACCATGTATTATGCACATTACTGATAATGTCGGGAGCCAATGCTAATTACAAATGTTTTAGCGGGTCAACAGTTTCAAAACGGGATATCAGTATTAAACATGAGGGACAGGTAAGTAATGATTCAAAATGTTATACCAGCGAAGGTAAACCATTTTGTGTAGGGCACCTGCCAGAATTATATCGTTATGATCGATCGTTTTTCATATGAAACCTTGTAGAGATTTTAGCTTAAACCTAGTTAAATAAACTATTTGTAAAAAAATGTAATTTTAATAATTTACATTCGGTTCTGCTAATTGTATTAAATGACAGCTTTCCCACAAGTCTCATTTCTAGCAGAAAAAAATAAAAATAATA